ACTTTTCATCGATGTCAGTAATGCATTCTACCGCCTCCTCCGACGACACATGGTAGCTGCAGAACTTGACACTAGGACGGTTCCAGAGCTTTTCCAAAGTCTTGGACTGCCGCCAGCTGCGTATGATGAGTTTGAAGAGATGATGAACCCAGGACCTGCGATCCAGAACTCCGACGCACCGGCCTTTGTCAAAGCGATGTTCCAGTCATTTTACGAAGCCACATGGTTCAGAGTCAATGGTTCAACAACATTGACTCAGAGTCGACGAGGCTCACGCCCTGGCGATACGTTCGCTGATTTGACCTTTGGCTTTGCGCTTAACAGAATCCTCCGACCTGTCTTCACTACCATCGAGACGGATTACCCAGAGGTGACGGTCGAGCTGCTCTCGGAAACTAGCCCTTATGCACATGAAAGCAAGTCTGAACGGATGGGTCTACTTGCACCGATCTGGGCGGATGATGTTGCAATATCGTTCAGTGCTGCGACGGCTGAGTCCCTTGTTACAATGGCTGGCCGTATTGCGGGGCTTGTTTTTGACCGACTAGCAGTGGCTGGCCTCATGCCGAATCTTTCAAAGGGCAAGTCAGAGATCATCCTTGACTGTAGAGGAAGTGGATCCACGGTGCAACGCAAGGCGATAGCTCACAAGGACTACCGGTCACAGATCTTCTGCAACCGGGCTATGACAGTCGAGAGGAAACGCCAGTTCTTCGAGTCGCTGGTGTTGTCAACCATCGTTTTCAATTGTGCTATATGGCAACCGCCAACCAAAAGACAAATGCAGCAACTCGATGCAGGGTGTGCACGCTTGTTCAAGCGCCTGGCTGTGATGCACTATGGGAAAAAAGCGATTGAATGGCCTCTCGACCGCATTATCCACGATTTCCAGCTTCTGCCAGCATGTGAGACTTTACGGGTTGCAAGATTGCGATACCTGTGCCACCTGATCCAGCATGGTGAGGACCATACTTGGTCCCTCATCAACACGGAACACAGCTGGTGGACACTGGTTGAAGACGATCTGGCATGGATGCAGATGTATTGCCCAGAGTTCGAACTTCCTGATTTCAGATCAGAATGGTCCGATTTCTGTGAATGCCTGCAAACTGCAGGAAAGCGATGGAAAGCAGCAATCCGCAGAGCCATTGCGAGAAGCAAAGCCTTTGCCTTGAGAAGATTCGAATGGTATGGATGGCACAGCGTGATCTATCAGGACATCCTGCAAGCTGGCCTGATCACTGACCAGGAAGTTGTTTCTACTGCTGAAGACCACTACTGTTTGGCCTGTCGCAACCTTCTCAGGAGCAGCCGCATGCGCAGTACACGCCTTTAAAAAGCACGACCGTGCTACCCCAGCACGAGACTTCGTAACTGGCACCACATGTGAAGCATGTTTAAAAGTGTTTTCACGGCATACTGGGCTTCTCAATCACGTTAACCGAGGTCATGATTGTTTGGCTTTTTATACTGCCCGTGGAGCTTTTGTGACTCGGCAACCTGGCGTGAATAGTGCCGCAGAGAACGCCAGTTGCCCAGAGCTGCCAGACCCTTGTATGCAAGCTGAAGGACCCAGAATTCCTGATGGGCCAATTGCAGTCATTGTGACCCAGATCCAACAGTGGCAAGATGAATTGCTTGAGAAGTGGCAGGCTGCTTTTTCGAGTTATCGAGGGACGGGCGCCCTTGTGGAACGTTTGAGGCAGGCCACCCTGAGCACATGTCTCTACCACAAAGAGATCCTGGCCCTTTTTGCTGAATGGAGCCAAAGATGTATAACTGAAGAAGAAGATGCGACACTCCACTATCTTATGATTTTTCGTGTTTTCACTTCCTCGGCTAGCAGTGAATGGTTCCTGACAGGTCTCAAGTCTTGCACGCGCAAGGAAGACACAGCGATGGTGTTTTTCCAACGACAATCCGATCAATTAGATGAAATTGGATATGATGTCCCAGCCCGCATGGCCTATCGTCCTAAGGTCATGGCGCATCTCTTTTCAGGCACACGAAGGCCTTTTGACATCCAACACGTCATGGAAGAGCATGCATGGATGGCATTGTCCATTGACATCATTTTCGATCGTGAATGGGGAGACCTCAACAACCCCACTACATTCCACTTTTTTACTGAGGCACTGCGCATTGGAATCCTGAGAGCTTGGGTGGCGGGACCACCCTGTGAAACGTGGTCCCGTGCACGTGAGAACCACGTGCAGGGCGGACCCCGCCCAGTGAGACGCCGAGGGTTCCCATATGGTTTGCATAACCTCACGTACAAGGAACACAGACAAGTGACAGTTGGTAGTATGCTGTTGGGCATTTCATTCCGGTTGATGCTCCTTTCTCTGCTATTTGGTGCAACAGGTGTGCTGGAGCACCCAGCTGATGGGGATACTCACCAGAATAGCCCAAGCATCTGGCGACTTGAGATTACTCGGTATCTATGTCGCTTTCGCAACTGTCAGAAAGTTACCATTATGCAAGGGCACTACGGTGGGAAGGCTTGCAAGCCCACCAGCCTCCTGATTGCAAATGGTGCGACCGACAATGACGCTTTGTTACACTCGCTGCGGACAACTGCACTTCCGAAGTATGCAGCCATCGGACGGCATGAAGATGGCAGTTGGCGCACTTCTGAGCTTAAGCAGTACCCAGCTGACTTTTGCAAAGCCATTTGTCGTGTGATCCTGGAAGGCCAAAAAGGCCACGGAGATGCCCCGTGCCAAGAAATTCCGAAGGAATTTCTCCAGGCGGTAAGTGAGTTGACGCGGAGTTTTGATGAGACCGCGTCAATGGGGCCCGATTTCCATGGATGAATTTTAATTAGGTGCACGCCACCAGTCGCGGGCAAGAGCCTATGGCGCGAAGAAAGAGGAAAAGAGAGGTAAATTTATGTACGTAAGTTTTTGAAGCATGTCGTTTGAGACAAACAAATGTCCGATATGAAGTCTCCCTTTTGATATGCCATATTTGTTTTGTCAGGCTGGACCGACAGCAGCCATTGGCCACTGGGTTCGTTGATGTATGAGCTCGGATCGCTCCTGTGAAACTTGGCGCCAATTTCCTTTGGAAGCGCCAGTGATCAGGTTTTTGTGTGCTACTTGCGTGAGCAGGGAGTCTGTATATAGCTTGTAAAAAAGGGGTTACTTTCATTTATTGTCCATAGTTCGTGGCCTCCCCTGCGCAAGGCACAGCTCGAGTAAGTTAACAGTGTTGCTGTTGGTGTTGCTGTTGTGCTTGTGGCTGCTGTTGCTGCAGCTGGTGGAGTTGTCGCTGTTGAAGTTTCGGTGGTTGTGTTGAGATGTTTGTTCAGTTGGTGCTCCGCTGCTCGTTCTCGTCGTCGTTGCTCGTTCTCGATCGCGAACAAGTCCAAGAAGTATGTATATATATATAGTTATATATACCTCAGATCCTCCAAGTTTCGACAGTTGACAGGTCTCGTAGCAGAATTTTCGGCCACATGTTTGCACACGAGCCGAGGCGTGGACGATGCAGCCAAGCTTCCAAACCACTTTGTGACGGATATCGAGTCTTGGTACCGAAGGGGCAAGAGTCCGTAGCCGTAGCCTATTTGTATATGGCTTTTCTGGCTGTTCATGGTGGTGCCTCGCAGTGAAACATGTCGTAAGCAAGCAAATTGTAGCTGGAGATCAGGAGAAAATAGTTCAAGACTGCGTATTGCTATGTCCAGATGGTACTGCAGATGCGCTGCCAGGCGGGGGAAACTGTGAACACGCCTCGGCACGCCTCGTTTTTAGCGCCAGGTGAGGTTCTCCATGATGCTGGGCAAAATCCCATCATTGCGTCTTCCATTGGCAAGACGCAGCACACGCAGGTATCAAAGGCGCCCAAAAGAGGACATTTTAATACACGTTTTGGGAGTTGCATAGGGCCTTGCAGTTGTACTGGAGGCTTCTGTGGAGGATTTCCCACTTATGATGCAGCAGCAGTCCCCTCGCTGGTGCGAAAAGTTAGCGGCTTATATAGATATCGTGCAGGCCAGGTGCCGAGCTGCTCGGACATTTTTTGTCCAACTCGCCCACTTTGCCCTCAGGTAGGAACAAGTCAAGATGCCTTCTTCGTGAGTGCTCGCACCAGGACTCTTTGACACGGACTCGAGTCTTTTTTCCGCATGAACATGTAGCAAGAGCGTACTGCAAGCGAGTGGGTGACCATGTGTTCGCAACTGGATGCCTTCGAGAAGGCATTCGTTCGCCAGGCTGATTTGATTTTCCAGGATGATTTTGGTGTTGATTCGCGCTCTGGGGCTTTGGCTTGGGGCGTGAGGGTGCACAAGCACAAAGCACCCAACCTACGAGTCTCCGGAGTGTCGGGCCAAGGCAGTCAGTCGGTTGATTGTTCACGAGATTTTGGGAGCTTAGAATACCAACAGAGCAGGATACTGGTGATCAACGGCAACCTCAACAGAGCTGGTATGGCTTGGTAGGGTTTTGCGGACCCAGTCTGCCTTTTTGCCACTGGGCATGTGGTGCGTTCTCATATGAGGTCCGTGGTGCATTTTCGTGCTGGTGAGGTGGTGCGCTTTGGCGCGGCAACGCGCAAGTCTATCGTACCCCTCTTGGTGCAGGCTGAGCCATACTGTTAGTCAATTTGTACTTTCCTGTTTTCTGGCAGGGCCCCACCCACACTTGAAGTGACAGTGATAGGTCTGCACAGGTGATGAAGGGAGGGTCTACCGCTAAAATGTCGCCGCAAAGTCGCAAACTTGGGAGAAGTGTTGTGAAGACATGTGTTGACAAGTTTGGTTGGACAAGTGTTGAGGTGTGGGGAGTGTTACAAGCCATATGCTCCCCTTTGCACGGCCCGTAAGCTTCCACACCTACAGGGCCTGCACAGCCCACATGGCCCACCCTGAATTTGGAGGTCATCAAGCGGCTCATGGGTTAAGTTTATGAGGAAACATCCCGAAAGGATAGGGAAGGAAAGGCAAAGAATGGAGGAAGACCCGGTCCAGACTAGTTCCGTTGCGCGTGCGACAGGAGACCGGATGCACAGCCACTTCTGGAGTTCTTTGTTCAGCTTCGGCTGGAATACTTGAAAGCCTTCGGCCGTGCAGTGGACTTTAACTGCACTTGCCATGCTTCTGCCGCTTGTTCGACACGGCAGGGTTGTGGGGAGTAGTCACCTGTGACGGAACGAGATCTGTTGGAAAATCCATTTCCGAGGAGGCTGGAGAATATTATCTTAATCTTGCACCTCTTGCTTGCATGCAGAAGATCAAAGTACCTCAAGGTTGCGGCTGCTTGGGCATGGGACCCAGCTTGTCATGTGGTTCTGCGCTGTGCTGTTCTTTTTGCTCGGTCTGTGAGGTCTGGATTTTGATTTTCTGAATCCCGAATCTGGCGAAACGGTCACAAAGATTGGCCTCCCAGTGGCTACAGTAGACTCTGCACAGGGGAAAGGAGAGCTACTGCATTAAGCTCTGTGGATTCTATGACCGGTCAATTCAATAGAGTTGGCATGCACAAGTTTGGATGCTTTGCTTGAAGGAAACTTATTGGCTGCTTCAGCTGAATATTGGCGCAATTGCTTGGAAGGCAAGCCTTTGCTAACTCGATTGCGACTTGGCCACGTTGTGATGCGCAGGACGGAGGCATATGACGGAGCCATATGATTTATTTCAGAGACGAGAGAAACAAAGCTGGAAAAACCGTCAAAGGGACCTTAGATTCATTTTCAGCATCTTTTGCAATTTTCGGGGACACTTATGCAGCAAGGTACGACTTCAACCGGAAACCGGGATCATTATCTGTCGCCCAGACAATGATTGAGAAGTTGTTTCAGTAACAGAAGGCTGCGGCCGTTATCTTTTTCGAGTGGTTTTTCCTGGCTTGGGAAGCTTTGCTCCCCAAATTTTCCTTCCAGCCTTAGAGTTTGTTTAATTTGTAGCCTGTCTGTCAGTCAGACTTGCTCAACTGTGTGACACTGTTGCCGACCCCTGATCCAATGCAAGGAGCAGGTTGTTTTTGGCCAAGTTCGATTGCATTCAGGCAGAGTGCTAGAAATCCGATGCGCGGCCAGCACGGTCGTATTATTCCAACTAGGTTGGACCATTGCCATGTATCTCCAAGAGACGTGGGCTGGGTCACGGAGGCGAGTGCCGAAGGCACAGCGGAGCTTCAAACGCTTAAAAAAGAAGTTGGTCTTAATGCATTTTCTTCAAAACTCTGAACATGTTTTGTCTTTGTTTGAACTGGTCTCTCAGCCTTTCTTTTCTTGCTGTTCCCTGTTGTGACAAGCAGGATGCCGAAGAACCGTGTACCGTTTTCTCCCCTATGATCCTATATGTCTTACTGATACCTGGTACACTGGTAATCATGCCTCATGCCTCCCAAGAACCCCTCCTGCTAATGGTTATCTCAAATCCTTCACCCTACAAACTGCAAACAGCCCTCCAATATCACAGAGAGTCTGCAGACTGCCATTGGGAAGATTCTTGAGGGTTGAATCCGGGAAGGCTTAAAGTGCTGACTGTCAGACGGGTTGAACATTTTGTTGAGAACACTTTGTCTAAAGGAAGCCTAAGCCGTCTTTTCCAAGACATTTGGGTTTGCCTTTTACAGCTGCCACTTCCCCCACAAAACCCCATGCAAACGGTTGGAGGCCATTGCTATTAGGTTGGAGGCCATTGCTAGTAGGTTCCTATTCAGTTCGCTACTATGTTTCCTAATCTCGGAACCAAATCATTAATCAGATCATTAGCGCGTGAGCTATCCTGCGTCCAGTAGGTAGTATATAGCTAACTTGTAGGTACTAGCTACCTCAGTTCCTTACTAAATTAAGTAGGGAGGGGGGGCAGCCGGCTTAAAAATAGTCCTTTTCATGAACCCTTTCTGTGTCGGTCATTGTGGCCGACTCCAGAGGACGCACGCAACTGTAAAGAGCCCGCCGGAGCATAAGTGTTGGGCTGTATTCTTGTGTTGTCTTCCGGAAGCCGACCAGAAGAACTACACACGTAACTCTTATTTGCACACATGATATTTTGCTTGCTTGTGCATGAGTGGAGTTGCAGCACTATGCAACATGTCCTATTAACACACTTGCTCATGGTGTGGCTGTGCTTGGTTGGCACTGAGTGCAAGTACCAGGTTGCTTTCGGCACCAGGCCCAGCGATAGAGCGAGTCGTCAGAGGTGTCTGGTTTCCACGAATGATGCATTGCAACACAATAGATGTTCGGGCAGCGGTTTTCTCTTTCTTGCGTGCGTGATTTTTCAGCTTCAAACAACGATGTGGCTGAGGCCTTGGGGGGTCGCCAAGGGCAATATGTACAGCTGGTTTCTGCACATATATATATATTTTTTTTAAAATAACAACATACAAGTATATATATATATACATATTTCATGGCCTGGACCCTGTCATGACAATGCATGTCCGAGAGTTCTCTCTCCGACGAGCGAATCCTAATTTTGGTTCCTTTTCTGTTCCTTTTCTCCTATTAGGTTGGAGGCCATTGCAAAAAACAAACATTCTCGACGATTGTCCAATTTCTTCCTAGCAGCGGTGCCAGGCCCCCTGGCAAGGGGGCGCTCCGACGGCAGTGCTAAGTTTTTCCGACATGTTTTGCTTTGAAGTCGCACCCTTGCTGAAAGGCCAGATTGCAATTTCAGTATGCAGCGGGAAAGTGTATATGGAAACCATTCACATTGCGCTACCATTGCCATGGCCAGCCGTGTCAGTTTCGGAGACGTTTGTACAGCACTTTGAGGCCCACAGAAAGCTGAACGTGTCGTGAAGGTGATCCCTGATCATGTGGCATCATGGGAGCGACATGACAGCTGACAAGCAAATTGTATTTGTTTTGCTTGAATGGTAGGGTTACATGAGTGGTTTGTGCTGCCGTACTTACCAAGAAGATGTCAAGTAGTTATGTTTTTGACGTAGTTGTGTGAATTAGTCCGGCTGTGGTGTGGCAAATCAATGCCCGAAACGATCAAGCGCAACATTGACATTTTTAAGACGCGCTACTAGTAGCTCCTGGCCTTACTACTAGAAACAAGGACGCTACTAGCAACAAAGGTCATCGCTACTGGGATCTAGTAGCTCCCAACAAGACGACTTTCGCATTTTCGAGCTGTGGGCATCAATGTGCTGGCGGCTCAATGGTGGCCAGCTTCCTGTTGCTGCGCTTGGGTCCTGTCAGTCTTTGGCTCCCAACAGCCGGCCGCAACTTCAATCAAATCCATTGAAGGTAGAAGCTATCACCATATGCACCAAGTGCACGTGCTGGCAAACACCTCTCAATGTGCACATGAATGCAAGCAACCGGGATGATCAATGCCTCTTACAGCGACACATGCAAACGATCAGGTAAGCCGGCTGTGTATATAGTTGCAGCTTTGGCCACCGATTTGTGTGGCCGAACAATACACATGTTTTGCGAAGGGTTGAGCTAGGTGAAGCTGAGACCGACAGAACGTACAACAGATCTCAAGAGCATCAAACGCATCCGGTGCATTGACCGCAGTTTGAGTTTGACCATGGCACTTCTATGCTTCAATGGTGCAGGCTTTGTGCGAAGTGTTTGTCACACACTTCACTTTGCTCTATTTGCTCTGAGAATCTGCAGTTTTTGCGAATTTCAACTTGGAGGCAAATGGGGAACTGGATGGACTGGGAGACTTGACATTTGCTCTACACTTCAACGCAGGACTCGGGAGTCACTTTAGGTCAGGTTGTCCGCATTTTGGCACGAACGTATCGAATTGCATCAAACATCTGCATTGTATCGGATGTGTTTTTGTGTTTCGTGGTCTGTTTTTTGGGAACAAGTAGGACAAGTTTGGAGCCATGGACCATCGAGCTATTGAATGACAGAGGTGGTATTGACGACTGTATAGTTGATTGTGGCTGTGGCAAGAGCAAAAATCGCTCATACGTCATACAGAATATACCATGCTCAATTCTGATCATACTCAACTAATGTCCTTGTACCGACGGGGCTGTGAGCACTTTTCTGGGATAGGTACACGACAAGCACGTGGACGTATGATTCGTGCATTTCTCTTGACACTGCGACAAGAGTATGAATTGAATTTCATTGGCGTGCTAGTTTTGCTCAAAGACAAATTGCCTTTGATATGTGAGGAGTAGTTGCGAAGCAGAATTGTGCTAATTTTGGACGTCGTATTGCTGCCACCTCAGTCCTTCCGTGATGTGCCGCCTTCTCTCTTTCAACCTTTAGAGTCCTGCTGCTTGTGGTTGTGACGCTACAAAGCTGCACCCTGTGAAGGCTGAATCTAGATGACAACCTACATAGTGACCATAGTGGAGGGCAACAGGTGTTTGAACTTGCAGGTTGCAGTCTTGGGCGTGAAGTTTCTCCCATGCGAAATCTCGATACTGATACGTGATCAAGTTCTCCTGCTCCACATCTACAGCAATGATAGCTTTGTGGTTGTATTTTGTTGCAATTTCATCTCTCATTATCATGAAGATGGCGACTTTGCTTTCAACAAGCTGGGGAGCCTTTTGCTATCCCACACACTTCACTTGCGCTCACGGCTGTATTGTACAACCTTGCATTTCCAGCAATATCAGATTAGCCTCCGACAGACTACCTGAAAAGAGTACTGGCTGTTGAGAGGACATCAGGTTCCCAAAAGGTGATAAGCAATAGGCACCACCCCCTACTGGCATCACTTATGTATATGACCGTATGCGCATGTTCATCAACATGACAATGACCTTCTTGTCTGTGCAGCTGAAAACAGAACAACCGCACAACCAATAGGAGACCACCGTGATCATCCATGTTCCTTCGCAGTGTAGCAGGCTCTAGTCTTTTTGCATTACATTGCTATGTTCAGTGCCAGCTCAGGTCTTCATGGGATGGCTGCTTGGGCTGGAACGACAGTTCGAGGCCATCCTCAGTCCCGAAGATTGTTCATGCTCTCCGAATTCTTTTTTAATAACAAGCAACACTCTTCATTCATCTTCATTCTCAGTTTATGAGAGACTTGTTGGAAGTGAACCTGGCAGGATGCAATACGAAGATCGCCGCGCTAAACAGAACATCTTCATGGACTGCCGCTTTGGAGCTAGCATTCGCAATGCCAAAAAAGTCAGTGAAGCCACTCGTCAAAAGTCTTCGATCATACATCATAATAGTCACTATCTATGAGTCTCCTAAAGTTTGTTCAATCATATTCAGTCTTTGGCTGTTCCCCGCAGGCCGAACATCATTACGTACAACTCCGCCATTCGTAGCTGTGGCCAAGGAGATGACTGTGGTCATTCCACAAGGAAAAGCTCATGAGCTTTAAGTTTCAATTATGAAAGAGATTAAACTGCTGAAGCTTCGTGTCTTTTCCTGCCGCCAATGATGGCTTGAGACAGCGCCATCCAAGGGCACACAGTTGTCGTAGCAAAAGCTGCATTTCGAGAATCCCATGCCAATAGCTCCTCATATCTAGCGCATGTGCAAAAGCAAGAATCAAGAACATTTAGAATCAGACATGATCGAGATGCATTCGTAAAAGCATCACAAAGGAAGGGCTTTGTGTAACGAGCACGATGGATGAGGCCGATAGTGACCTCCCAGACCTTCCAGAGCTGGATGCAGATCTGGCGGGCCAGGACCCGGCGGATTGTGAGGAAGTACGGGCTGCGCTGGGTGGTGTTGCATCTGGGCTTGCGGAGCAGTTGACCACGATAACACAAGAGATGAATAAAATTCGAGAAGAACTCTACGGAGACAATGGGATTGGAGGAATTGCACAGGAACTTGAGAAGTTGAAGACGGGAAACTTAGCAGACCTCGGAAATCTTGGAGAATGCAAGGAAGACGGCTTGGAAAGTCGAAGAGGCCCAGGAGGTTTGGGAGGCCCAGGAGGACTTGGTGAAGATGGACCAAGGAGCCGAGCAAAAGCTCGACCAAGGCCTCCACGGCCCACCGCGCCCTTGGACAAAGAGCGAAGATTGGAAGAACTCCGGCGCAAAATCGAACGTCGGCACTTGCTAGATGAGAAGAAAGGCAAAGAGACGACAGGCTTTTTGGAGTGGCTAGTTATTGCTTTTGTGATCTTCATGATGGTGTATACGGCCTCCTCCTCCTTTCGGGCTCAAGTCAAGCAGTTCTTTGGTGAAGCAGTGCTGGGCGAGGTCACTGATGTGACTGATGTGGAAGCCTATGACTATGGAGCTGTCGTACAAGAAGATGTCGAATCCTACTTTTGAAACTTTCAAAGGTACAATAACATGTCGAGCAAATTCTCACATAGCCTTCTCACTGGACTTGAATTTGGCCTCCCAGAGATTGCAAAAACAGTTGCGCTTCCCGTGTTTGTAGTGTGAAGGCAGGTCTTGGCTGGTCATGGCTCACTCAAGAATTAAGGGTTTAGCAAGTCGCCAAATTGCTCAGTGAGGCAGGAACTGGCCAATGTCCCTGTGGCTTTTTGCATGCTTGCCAAAGCTGGGCTTTTCTCCCAACCAAGTCAGCGCTCAAGCTGCATTGGCGTAAGTAAGATCCTTTAGGTCGCTTCATTTTTCATATTCTTTTGCCAAGCATGGATGCCAGGCAATGCATTTTTGCATATTTTTGCTTTAGGCTTCAACGTCATGGTTCAAGCCGCTACAACAGCTCATCGATGGCAGCTGGCAGCCACTTGGATTTGAGGCTTCCTGATCTTGGAAGATTCAGTGGTGAAATGGTGAAGCCCAAGACTTGTGGGGGAGATACAAGAGAAACCAAGAAAGAAGAAACGGAATCAACAAAGACCACAAGGAATCAACAAAGCAGAGTCTTAATTTCTTTGTCACCGACATGGCACTTTGGGGTTTCTGAGGTGGCCCTATTGGAAGCTGTCCCCAAAGGGACCGCACCCTCTCCGGTGAGCGTGGCAGCAGCAATGTGCCTGGAAGGAACAAATCGAAGTGAAGTCTGATGAGTTTTGCTTTGCTAAACGTGAATGACGTCATGAGCTTAAATGACCGGATTTAAGTGATTTACTAGTAAGTGCACAGAAGTGGCTTGCCCACTGTTGCATGAAGCGCTTGAAGTCTTCGATGTCGGTCAGCTGCGTTTTGTTCTGTCTGCATGACACAGTCTAGCCAGTTCGGCTTGACTCAACGGCCCCATGCCTATTCCCCAAAAGGGTTGATCACAACTGATCACAAGAAGGAAAGCCAATGGGGCGGAATCTGGTCGATCAGGCAAAAGGGGACTGGCAGGTCTCCCGCTTCCGGACAGCCAGGACAGGTGACCTTCCCACGGCACCTTGAGTCCACGCGAAACTTTGTGGCTTCGTGAGGGTTTCCCCGCAGTCCTGCACACTTAATTATCCATTCGGTGTATTACTCTGAGGAACTTGTGCCAGGATCCTAATTATCAAACATGGAGAAAAGGAGAACTGGTCGACTGTCATCATGGAATGGCTATATATATATATATGTGAAATGATCTACGTTTAAGTTTAGGCTGACCAAGGTCACACATATTCATCTCTGTGTGTTTTTGCGAATTCCAAGGTCTGCTTGCGAGCGGGCGTCTGAGTGGTGTGCAGCCCTCGCCATTTTCTGCAACTGGATGCCAAAGATCTACTAAGAGACCTTTTCAAGAAACAGGCTGCAGCAACCAAACTAGTGTGGAATGGTGGAGTGCAATCGGAGATTTGTTGTGCATGTGACTGGGGCTAGGGTCATACCCCAAGGCAAACACTTTTTGATCGCGGACCTTGTTGTGTTCAGTGTGGCAATTACGGCATGTGAAAGGAGTTCCAGGCTCCCTCTTGACGATTGGATTTGTTCATTTTCGTATTTGATTTTGACTGCCCGGACTGCATTGAACTCCCCATGTGCATGAAATTTGGATAGTAGTAATGCCCTTTGTTGCTAGTGGCGATGATGCCCTTCGCTCCTTGTAGCTTCTTGTTACTAGTAAGGCCAGGAGCTACTAGTAGCATCCTTGCTACTATTTTTTTTGCAAAAACATGAAGTGAGTCCCTCGTTCTCAGGAAGTGACTTGTGAGACAATGCTCGCAAACACTTCGGCTTTGGCCAGCCCCCTCCATCCTCGTTAGATCGCGTCATGAACCGCATAAGCGACAAGCGCACAGGCGCTATGTCTAAGTTGTGCTCCCCCAAAACCAGGAGTCTCGGTTCCAAGTGCGATGCTTTGACCCAAGCAACGTAAGGGCATCGATATTAGGAGCAAAGGGCATCGCCACTAGGAGCTCCTGGCCTTACTAGGAACACACGACTCTACTAGTAACAAAGGGCATTACTATTAGTAGCATTCTTACTTTGCCCTGTCCCAGTTTGCTTCAGTAAAGGTTGATTAAAGCAACGTCGTGGCGACGAAAAGCGGTGCGTCCTCGCCTAAGCCGGGGAAGCCAGTAGAGCGATTGCATTGCGTTGGCAGAAGCGGGTTGTGACTTTTGCCCGAAGACACGAAGACACGAAGACACGCGAAGACACGCGAAGACATGAAGACACGCGAAGACACGCGAAGACACGAAGACACGAAGATACGCGAAGACACGCGAAGACACGAAGAGGCTTCAGGTCTTCAAGGCTTCAGGTCGTCACTAGGCTTCAGGTCTTCAAGGCTTCAGGTCGTCAGGTCGTCGCCAGGCTTCAGGTCTTCAAGGCTTCAGGTCGTCACCAGGCTTCAGGTCGTCACCAGGCTTCAGGTCTTCAAGGCTTCAGGTCG